GAGAAATATTATAAGAATCAAGTTTTAACTTACTTTACTGCATACAATGTCTCATCCGTCACTGCCACATGCACCATAGGGAAACCTTGAAAAGATGTGCCGCACACTGGAAGATCAACTGAGTGAACTGAAGACTAAGGAAGAAGAGCAGCAGCGGCTGATCAACGACCTGACGGCTCAGAGAGCTCGCCTGCAGACGGAATCAGGTAAAGACCTTTCTCTGAATCCTGAAACTTTGCACTAGATAAAAGTGATTCCAGGGATTCTTAATAAATAGCAATACTTCCATTTTAGAGTGGACCAAGCAAACTATCAGAATTTGCTGAGCAGGTCAGAAAGAAAAAAATAAGCAAGAATCAGCAAGCAAGTTTACTTGTTACACTCCTGTGGCAACTCTGACCTTTAAACTCGAGTTCTATAATACCTAGAAGTATATATTTGATATGTACAAATATAAATATAAAAGCATTAGGCCAATTTTTAACACCATTAACAAATCCCTTTACTTACATTACTCTTAGGTGAATATTCTCGACAATTAGATGAGAAAGATGCTTTAGTCTCTCAGCTTTCAAGGAGCAAACAAGCATCTAGTCAGCAGATTGAAGACATGAAACGTCAGCTAGAAGAAGAAACTAAAGTGAGTTTTACCTAAGATCTTCTTGGCTAATCATATCTACGCATGTCCAGTTAGGTTCTACTCCGGATGTGTAAATTAAATATCACTGAATAAATGAATTTAAGTCACTGACTCATATTTCTGCAGGCCAAGAACGCCCTGGCCCATGCCCTGCAGTCCTCCCGCCACGACTGTGACCTGCTGCGGGAACAGTATGAGGAGGAGCAGGAAGCCAAGGCCGAGCTGCAGAGGGCGCTGTCCAAGGCCAACAGCGAGGTTGCCCAGTGGAGGACCAAGTACGAGACGGACGCCATCCAGCGCACGGAGGAGCTGGAGGAGGCCAAGTACGTACAGTGAATTCTGGGGGAGGAGTTGCCCAACTCAGCAACTCCCAGAAGCAGTTGTGAGGACACTGATGACAATAGAAACACAACATAGCAGAAGCTAACATATACTGAGTGCATGCTATGTGTCAAATACCATAAATACATTAGCTCATTTAGTTTTCATAGCAACATTATTATTCTTACCCCATTAGAGATGAGGAAATTGAAGCTGTGAGAGGTTAACTAACTAATCCAAGGGCATATGATTAATAAATGGTGCAGCTGGGATTAGAACCAGATATTCTGATTCCAGAGCTCACCAGGGGGGTGGGGAGCCGGCCTTTGTTTAAACTGCATGAATTGTCCGGATTTATCCATCAATTTCTTTCTCTGGTGAGATTGTTCAACTTTGATTAGAAGAAACTGGCTATGTTTTCTTTAGAGAAAAAGTACATAAAATAAAATGGAAACTTTGAGATAAAAAATTAATATGCTCAGTATATTCTTGTCCAATAAAATATCTAGTCAGCTCAAATACATTTTGGAATAAGATTAAGATATATAAATCAATTGATAAAATTGTCCTGGCCACACATTCTCCACAATCACACTCAATCAGAAGTCCTGACACTAAGAGCAGTCTCTAAGAATTCAACAGCTCACCAAGGATTTGAATCACCATTTATCGTGAAAACGTGTATACATGTTTCTGCCGGGGAAGCGGTTAAAACTCATGTTAGAGGCCATCACACAATACATAATGTCCAGGATTGGTCTGAATCGAGTGAAGTCTTAGTTTGTGTACAGACAAAAGGGTACCTTCAAGTAGATCTTGGGCATCAAGGCTAACGGCTTGTCTGAAACTTAAGGATGCGTAGGTGGC